GTTGCTGTTGATGCTGCTGTCGCAATGGGCTGCGCTGTCGCTCCTGCATATCTTCGTTCACATGTTGCTGCTGGTGCAGCACGGGCTGCTGCTGCTGCTGCTGCAGCTGCTTCTGCTTCTGCTGCTGCGGCTGCAGCAGCTGCGGCGAGACGTATTCATGACCTCGAAGCGTTACTGCTCCAGCGCTCATGGCTAGCATGTGCTCCTGTTGCTGCTGTTGCTGCTGCTGTTGCTTCTGCTGCTGCTGCTGCTGCTGCTGCGGCAGCGGCTCTTGTGGTTGCTTCCCTTCTTGCCTCCCTCGACGCTGCTGCTGTGCCTGCTGTTGCTGCAGCCGCGGTTGCTGCTGCTTCAGCTGCAGCTGCTGCGATCCGCTCTGAGGTTGCTGCTGCTGCTGCCGCGGCTGCTGCTGCTGCTGCTGCTGCTGCTGCTGCTCTGTCTCAAACTCGCTGCTTTGCATGCATAGTGGCCCAAGGCCGGCGGTGGAGAGCATCGCGCGCGCTGCTGCTGCTGCTGCTGCTGCGGCTGGGCTGCTGCCTCCCGTCGGGGTTCTGCAGGAGCAGCGTCTGCTGCAGCTAATGCAGCTGCTGCTGCTGCTGCAGCTGCCGCTTCAGTCGCTCCTGCTGCAGCTGTTGTTGCTGCAGCTGTTACTTTCCGTGGAGCAGCAATTGTAGCAGCAGTCGCGGCATCAGCAGCAGCAGCAGCAGCAGAGTGTTGCTGCAGTCGTCCTCGCTCTTGTTGCTGCTGCTGCTGCGGCGGGTGGTGCTCAACTGTTTCAGTTTGCGCTGCTGCTGCTGCTGTTGCTGCTGCCGCTGCTGCTGTTGACGCTGCTGCTGCTGCTGCTGCTGCTGCTGCTGGGGGCCCCCAGTTTGCTGCGCAGCGAATTTACTCGCAAACAGGGTTGCAGTGCCAGGCCACGTAAACCCTAAACCCTAAACCCTAAACCCTCGTGATGAAAAACAAAAAAATAAGACGGAGAACCCGCTGTGGGGCGCACGTTTCAGCTAAACCCTAACCAGGATGAGGGTTTAGGGTTTAGGGTTTAGAGTCTACACCTAGCAATTTCGAATCGACCTGCAGGCAAAGGCGTAAGGAAAAAAAAGCGAGAAATATTCCGCTTACTCGTTGTTAGAGGGTTTAGGACCTAGGGCTTAGGGTTTAGGGTTTAGGGTTTAGGGTTTAGGGTTTAGGGTTAAGGGTTTGCTGCACACAGGGGGCTCCAGCAGTACTACTGTCGGCCCAAACCCCACATAAACCCTAGACGCGCGGTTTATTTTTCTTCAGCAGAAAATTCAGTTAGAGTAAATAAAAAAGAAGAAAACCCTCAGCCTAGTGAACCCTAAACCCTAAACCCTAAACCCTAATCCCTAAACCCTGAGTCAGCAAGTGCTCTCTTACGAGCTCCGCCGTATCAGATGTTCTGCAGTAGAGGAAATCCCTCTACGGCCCTCTAAACCCTAAACCCTAAACCCTAAACCCTAGACTGAGAGCTTTGGGCCCTCAAACCTACCCGCTAAACCCTAAACCCTAAACCCTAAACCCTAAACCCTAGCAAAGCGCGGCCGAAGAGCAGTTCCGGAGTCTAGACAACTGAGTTTCTTCAACTGAGCTTCCAGGATTGCTTCTGAGACCCTTAGGTTTTACGGTTTAGTGGCGAGAATAGCCGCAAACCCTAAACCCTAAACCCTAAACCCTCGCTGCTGCTGCTGAATGCACTGACAATGCGAAGTGTGTACACAACCAAGTAGCGACACAAGCAACGCAGCCGCCGCCGTAGAGGGTCTAGGGTTTAGGGTTTGTGGTTTAGGATTTAGGGTTTAGGGTTTAGGGTTTAGCTACCAGAGCTCCGTCGCTTCCGCTGAGGGCCTGCAAATAAGAAAGACTTTGCTACAGGTAGCAGCAGCAGCAGCGGGAGCAGCAGCACCAGCAGCAGCAGCAGAGTTACGCGCAACTAGCTGGAGCCAACTGTAGCTTACTGAAACTAGCTGGAGCTAACAGCAGCAGCAGCAGCAGCAGCAGCGTCACAAGCAGCAGCGGCAGCAGTAGCATCAGGAACAACGGACATCACAGGAGCAGCAGAAGCAGCAGAAACAGCAGCAGCAGCAGCAGAGTTGTGTGCAGCTGAGTGCAGCAGCAGCAGCAGCAGCGAGTGGCGCCACTTCATGTATCTGAGGTGTACGTACAGCGCCTATGCAGCTGCAAGGGAACTTCCAGTTAGTGAGTCCAAGAGGGTTTAGGGTTTAGACTCTAGGGTTTAGAGTTTAGGGATTAGGGTTTAGGGATTAGGGTTTAGGGTTTAGGGTCTAAGGTTTAGCAATGGCTGCCTTCTGCTGTCTATACACTCGAAGGGCAGCCCTGTCAGTTCCCGAGCATGCCGTTGGGGTGTACGTACACCTGAAAGTCCGCTGCTGCTGCTGCTGCTCTTTTGGGGCTTTTCTGAAAATCTGGAAAAGCCCCAGGAGGACCATTAAAAAGACTTTTTAAAAGAAACTTCAAAGAGGTAAAAACCCAAAAGGAAAAGAAATAATTGCCCCACAAAAACGCATGCCGCTGGCGCTTGTGGGGCCCCACAAGCCCTCAGGTGTACGTACACCTCAGCCCAAAGGCCAATCTTCGCCGAAAAATTCACACCGCAGCTGTACGTACACCAGAATGCATGCAAACTTGCTGTCTTGAAAGATGCTTTAAATATTCCATTTGCACAACTTCAAATAATGCTCCTTTTCTCGTTCATCTCCAAGAACTAAAGTGGCGCAATTTGTGATAGAAAGTTTTGCTTATGGTCTTGCAGCAGCAGTAGCAGCAGCAGTAGCAGCAGCAGCAGTAGCAGCAGCAGCAGAAGCGCCGGCGGATATTTGCGCTACTTTCGAATGAAGCTAAAAACCATGCCCTAAGCCTTAAACCCTAAACCCTAAACCCTAAGTCCTAGACCCTAAACCCTAAACCACAGCAGCAGCAGCAGCATTGACGGATATGAGCGTGACTTCCGAATAAAGGCGAAACCCAGGTAAGTCTTTTTCGCGGAGAGAAAATCCAAAAAGAACTCAAAAAATCTTAAAAGAAACCCTTTCGCCATCTGATGCCTCAAAAGGTCCTCAAAAAGGGTACTATAGGGGGCCCTTAAAAGTGCGTGCAGTCGAGGGGCCCCTTGGGGGACCCCTTAAGGGGCTCCTGGAGGTGCATGCACTAAAAGGAGCCCCTTGGAGGCCCCCTTGGTTCCCCCTTGGGGGGCCCTTTAGGGGGGCCCCCAAGGGGCCCTTTGTGGGGCCCTTTATGGGGTCTTTTGGGGGCCCTTTGTGGGCCCCTTGAGGGCCTTTGAAGGCCCCTTGGGGGATCCCAAGGGGCCCCAAAAGGGGCCCCCAAGGGGTCTTCAAAGGCCCCTGAGCCCCCAGGGGGCCCCCTGGGGGCCTGGGGGCCCCCTTTTAGCGCATGCAGTGTAGGCTAGCGTAGCCGCGTTTGAGTATCTGTACAGCTCAGCACACAAGAAGACCCAAAGACGCGAAGAGCTTTAAAGTTTGTCAAATGTAAAAACTTTAATTTTTTAGAATTAAGTTAATCTCAAAGTTTGTCTTTTTGAAAAAGAATATCAAAATCTGGTTTCCTGAAAGTGAAAATCCGCAGAAGACCTCATTTGCAGAAATAAAAACAAAAATAATAAAACAAAAATACAAATTAGAGATGCTTTGAAACCTTTAACCTATTGTTGCGCTGCGTAGGGGCGAAATGCATAGGGCAAACTACACCGAACCCAAGACCCTAAACGCTAAACCCTAAACCCTAAACCCTAAA